CCTCAGGCTTCCTCGGAGGGCGCGGGCCCCAGGCACCAAGCGCATGAGCTGACCCGCAGGCCCCATGTGCCCACAGAGCTCGCACACCCGTGGGGACCTTTCTCGGGGACCATCCTCCCGCCGAGCCGTGTACACCGTCCCCCACCCCGTCCTTACCTGGGCCTATTCTGAGGCAAAGCCTTAGCATCGACAGCAAACATTTTGGACACAAAGATGATGACCGGTGCGGTCTCGTCACTCCCGCATTTCATAAAAGCTGAGCGAGCAGAAAGCAAGCATGTCACTATTATTTTTTTCCTTTATGAAAGATCCAGGTTTTTCTGGAGAACAATTAAGATGTTTTCACTATGGCATCATCTAAATATGTAAGCAGCCTACAACCTTTTACAACTACCATAAAAAGTCCATTTAGAAAGCTGTAAAACTGCCGGAAAAGTGGAAAAAGAACAAGCAGAATTGGCAAAAACAAGGAAGAAAAGCAGCATTAACAGGGCAGGAGGAGGGCTGGGGGAATCCGATACGGAACTGAAGCCAGTGAGCGGGCTCACTGCCCGCCACAAGCCCAATAAATATTCCCTGGACCCAGTGGAGAAGCAACAGGATCGAGGGATGCGAGCAGAGGCCAGCAGCCAGCAGGGAGCTTGTGGATAAAACACATAAAAATCATATAAGCTAACCAATGGACACAGACACCGGGGGGTGAGGGCATGAGCGGGGGCAGGGGGCACTGGGGGATAAGGACACATACGTAATACCTTCATCAATAAAAAATAGCCCTAATCGGTTTGGCTCAGAGAGCATCGGCTTGCGGACTCAAGGGTCCCAGGTTCGATTCCGGTCAAGGGCATGTACCTTGGTTGTGGGCACATCCTCAATGGGGAGTGTGCAGGAGGCAGCTGATCGATGTTTCTCTCTCATCGATGTTTCTAACTCTCTACCCCTCTCCCTTCCTCTCTGTAAAAAGTCAATGAAATATATTTAAAAATAAGTAAATAAAATAAAAATCAATAGCTTTTCCAATCCCCACAATAACAAGTTAGAACATAGGCAAAAATCTAATATAGGGCAGCCGACCCATGATGCTCTCTCATCATTGATGTTTCTATCTCTCTCTCCCTTCCTCTCTGACGTCAATAAAAATATATTTTAAAATAAATAAATGAATAAATAAAATAAAAATCAATAGCTTTTCCAATCCCCATAATAACAAGTTAGGACATAGGCAAAAATCTAATATAATAATAGAGGAATATGCAAATTAGCCGGTACACCGTAACGACACGACCGATCTACAAGTGGCAGAGAGCTACAGGAGGGCGGGGCAGCGAGCTACAAGCACACGGATTCGTGCGCAGGGCTACCTTAATCAATAAAAAATAGAACATTATAATGAGAGCAATGAAAAAAACCTTGGACATAAACTAAGGTCCATTATTAGAAGGATGTCAATTTTCCCTGAATCTACAAAACCTTTGATACATTTCAATTTTTAATCCTCATCTGAGGATATGTTTAGAGGAAAGATGGTGGAGGGAGGGGGAGGGAGGGACAGAGAGAGAGAGAGAGGGAGGGAAGGAGAGAGGGGGAGAGAGAGGAGAAACATCAGTGCGAGAGAGAAACATCGACCAGTTGCCTCCTGTACGCACCCCAACCAGGGCTTGAACCTACAGCCTAGTGACAGGGAATAAACCTGCAACCTTTGGTTGTATGGGACGACGCTCCAGCGAGAAGCCGCCTGCCAGGGCCCACATCTATAAACTGTTCACAATTCAAAGCACATGCTGACATTTTTCTTAGCCAACACTGGAGGGATAAAATTGGTTAGTGATTTTTTAAAAAAATCGCCCATCATAAGATTTTACCCATAAAAAAATAAAATAAAAATCAATAGCTTTTCCAATCCCCACAATAACAAGTTAGAACATAGGCAAAAATCTAATATAGTAATAGAGGAATATGCAAATTAGCCGGTACACTGTAACGTCACGACCAATCTATAAGTGGCAGAGAGCTACAGGAGGGCGGGGCAACGAGCTACAAGCGCACGGATTCGTGCGCAGGGAAACCTTAATCAATAAAAAATAGAATATTATAATGACAGCAATGAAAAAAACCTTAGACATAAACTAAGGTCCATTATTATAAGGATGTCAATTTTCCCTGAATCTACAAAACCTTTTATACATTTCATTTTTTTAATTTGCAGGAGGCAGCCGATCCATGATTTCCTTTCATCACGGATGTTTCTCTCTCTCTCCCTCTCACTCTCTGAAATAAAAAAAAGTGTATTTCTTTTTAAAGATGAGGGTGCATGCACGTTCCTCTGTCCCTCACCTGCCTTCAGCGCCTGGGTTTCCGGCGGAAGCGAGTCGAACGTCTGTGAGCCCGAGCACATCAGCTTCTCCACCCGCTCGGGTGTGATGTCGAGGGGGCTGGGGAGCTTCTGACACACCATGGCTGAGGTCTGTTGTTAAGGACTCCAACACTGATGCGTGCACTCTCCAGGGACGAGACCACAACGTACACCAAATCCTGCGGCAACAACGCATGAGCCCTGGCCAGCTGGAATGGTGGCCTGCAGACCGAAGGGTCCCGGGTTCAATTCCGGTCAAGGGCACGGACCTCGGTTGCAGGCTCCTCCCTAGCCCGGCCCCTGGTCGGGGCGCATGCAGGAGGCAACCCATCGATGTGTCTCTCTCACATGTATGTCTCTCTCTGTCTCTCTCTCTCCCTTCCACTCTCTCTAAAACAAGGGAAAAATATCCTCGGGTGAGGAGCACCAAAAAAAAAAAAAGAGAGAGAGATGAAATTCATCTATAAAATTACTTCAGTTAATGTATGCCACTTTATAATGAAATCTTTTGGGAATTAAAAACATAATGAGGAATATCAACACACTAAAGAAAATATAGTACTAAGTAAAACAGTGACCTAAAACTTGTAAATTATCTACTTATATATAAATTTTAGTAAAAGGAAGTGTCTTTTTTTAGATTACCAAACAGAAATAAAAAGGAATATCTTCCTAGAAGGACATATATTTAGACTGTATTAGAATAAATACTAATATTAGTATAAGAATTTTTAAAAAATATATATTTTGTTGATTTTTTACAGAGAGGAAGGGAGAGGGATAGAGAGTTAGAAACATCAATGAGAGAAAAACATCCATCAGCTGCCTCCTGCACACCCCACACTGGGGATGTGCCCGCAACCCAGGTACATGCCCTTGACCGGAATCGAACCTGGGACCCTTCAGTCCGCAGGCCGACGCTCTATCCACTGAGCAACACCGGCCAGGGCAGTATAATAATTGTTAAATGGTTTCATAGAACACTAAGGATTTCTTGGTGGCCAGAAACACGCCCCCTCCACCATTTTGTCAAAACGATGATCCCATTAAAAACCACGAACAGAAAGGATACCAAGCACAGCCTGGGAGATGGGCAGCCACTGGCTGCAGATGGCGCTGACCTGGACCTTCGGGTCTGAGTGCCGCGCCTCCCGGGCCCCGATCTTCAACCCCAAGGAGGTCACGATTTTATCGATCTTTTCTTTGTCCCTGCAGCAAGCACAGAGCGGGGTGGAAGGTCACACAGGCGTGAAGGAGCGGCGAGGACAGGGACCTCACCGTTATCCGACAGCGTTTATTCCTCATGCATGACTTTTCTACCAACAACGGAAAAGGACTGCAGGGGCTCCCACCACAGCTCGGGAGGCCCCGTCTCCACCCGTCCCCTCCTAAAGGAACCTTCCTCTAAAACCAGAGGCCCGGTGCACGACATCCGTGCAAGGGGCTCGGCCCTCGCAGCCCTGGCTTCGTCTGGAAGGTGGTCCGGCTGTCCGGTCTAATTAGCATATTACGCTTTAATTATTATAGATTTGTCCTGCCGCACCAGACCACAGCCTCCTTAAGCCAACTATGCCAGCGGGGGAAGCAGGGTCACAAACGCTTGCTCAGAGGGCAGGAAGCCATCTCGGGAATAACTGAGACACTGAACTCACCGAGGAAGCTTTCTTTTGCACTTGTCCCCAGCATGTGTGTGCCCAGTGTCCCCATTAATGCCTAGCTAGCAGGCACCTTTCTGCTACGATGACTATTTTATTTCAAACTGGGTTTTTAAAAATAAAAATCCAGCCCTGGCCGGTGTGGCTCAGTGGATAGAGCATCGGCTGAAGGGTCCCAGGTTCAATTCCCGGTCAGGGCACATGCCTGGGTTGTGGGCTCCAACCCCAGTGTGGGGCGTGCAGGAGGCAGCCGATCCATGATTCTCTCTCATCATGGATTTTCTCTCTCTCTCTCTCTCCCTCTCCCTTTCTCTCTGAGATCAATACAAATATGTTAAAAAAGAAGTGGAACAACCAATTGACATTTCTCTCTCTCTCTCTCTCCCAAATCAATAAAAAATACAGGTCAATGTTTCCCTCCACCCTTTCATCCCTTCCCCGCGGCCTCTATAAAGCATTTCTCTCCTGTCCCTCCTGCTACGCTTGACTCGGGTTGCACAGGCTCCATGAAATCGCCTCCCCGCCCTGTCACCAACTGATCGTCAGGGCTCTCTCTCCTCACTGCCCCGTCTCTCTCAGCTTCCCCAGCAGGACTCAGGCAACTGGAAACTGAGGCACATTCTACCGGCCCGAAGTCCCCAGTTTTGTAAGTCTTACTTTTTCAAGACAGCGTCATACAAACTCCATATATTCTCCAGGATTAACTGCACGAATAACGGCTTCTTTCCTTTCGCCTGTAAAAGAGAATGAACACGCTCAGGTTTCTGCGTATTTAATAGGGATCTTAAATACTCATTCTTTGTTTTTGTTGTTGTTAATCCTCACCTGAGGATATTGTTCCTTTTTTTTTTAGAGAAAGTGGAAGGGGGGGGGAAAGACAGGGAGACACATCGATGTGAGAGTCACATCAATTCGCTGCCTCCCACAGGCACCTCGACCAGGGCCAGGGATCGAGCCAGCAACCGAGGTACGTGCCCTTGACCGGAATTGAATCCGGGACCCATCAGACCTCGGGCCAACATGCTATCCACTGAGCCACACTAGCCGGGGCTTAATACTCATTCTTGACATGTTTTATTATCGACACGCCTCATTTCTACTAGGAAGCATTTACTCAACCGCAGAGGGGAGGAAAGGAGGTACAATAACCAACCGTTCTCTCCCTGCGGGAACTATCGGCTTCACAATGATGAGACCGTTTGGGGGACCCGTCACTGCGGCGGCCCCACTGCGCCCATCAAAACACCACTGAGTGCCCAGCGGAGAGTGAACACGTGACTCTGCATGTACAGGCCTCGCCATGAACTTCATGCTACAGAGCATTATCATTATTTGTTAATATTTTACTGATTTCAGAGAGGAAGGGAGAGGGAGAGAAACATCCATGATGAGAGAGAATCATGGATCAGCTGCCTCCTGAATGCCTGCAACCCAGGCCATGTTCCCTGACCGGGAATTGAACCATGACCCCCTGGTTCATAGGTGGACGTTCAACCATGGAGCCACGCCGGCCGGGCTAAAGGATATTCCTAACCTGAAAAAGAATCAACTTCAAGGAAGAGGAAATTAAGAACAAAAAAACCTACCATTTCTTTTATCAAACTATGCAAAATAATGCAAGAGCCCCGTGAGACGGGTACTCTCACACGCACAATTAGACGGACTATCAGCCGAGCCCGCCTTTCTGAAGGGCTAGTGACAAGTTAGTGAGAAATTAAGTCGTTACCGGTGAGTGCTCGGTTAAAAAAAATGTCATCACGAAGACAAAAGATTTATGCAAAGATGTCCGCCGGAGTCTTACTTATAAAAAACATTTGGAAATTAGAAACAGACACACGTCCGATCTGAGGAGAGTGATTATGTAAACCAGTGGTTCTCAACCTTCTGGCCCTTTAAATACAGTTCCTCATGTTGTGACCCAACCATAACATTATTTCCGTTGCTACTTCATCACTGTCATGTTGCTACTGTGATGAATCGTCATGTAAATATGTGATATGCAGGATGGTCTTAGGCGACCCCTGTGAAAGGGTCGTTCGACCGCCGAAGGGGTCGCGACCCACAGGTTGAGAACCGCTGATGTAAAGGATGACGCGCTCACAGCACACACTGATGACAGGGCACTCAGGGGACAGGACGGTCTCCAGGCTTCTCTCGGATGGTTTCGTATCGTTATCATACCCGTCCTCTGAGGCCAGCACTGCTGCCTCCATTTCACAGATGGAAACACTGAGGCACAGGGCGCAGCTGGTGAGCGCTGGGGCCAAGATGCAAACCTCCAGTCAGGCTCTCCCGCGCTTCCCCCCTCCCTGCACTGGCCCCTCTTCAATACGCTGCTGATTCAAGGCCTGTCATGGCCCAGGGAAGAGGCTCACACGGTGGGGCTTTGAGCTTCATAATATCAAGCAAGAAAGGAGCTACATTACGAAGACTGTATAATCGCGGCTGAGGGACGGAGAGATCTAGTCAGGAAGAAAACAAGAGCCCTGGCCGGTGTGGCTCAGTGGATAGAGCGTCGGCCTGCAGACCCAAGGGTCCTGGGTTCGATTCCGGTCAAGGGCACATACCTCGGTTGCAGGCTCCTGCCCGGCCCAGGCCCCGGTCAGGGCTCATGCAGGAGGCAACCCATCGATGTGTCTCTCTCACATCGATATTTCTCTCTGTCTCTCCCTCTCCCTTCCACTCTCCTTAAAAATATCCTCGGGTGAGAATTAAAAACAATAACAATAAAAAAAACAACAAAAAACAACAAAAGGGACATACGCCCATTACCTGATCCACCTTCATGATCTTCTTGGCCTTCATATTTATGTAATAGTCTCCCCACAATGTTTTCAAAAGAACTTCCTTTTTTATGCCAATTTTCTGACTGTAGATTTGGGCAAAGTGCTCAATTCTGGAAAAAAAAAAAAGCAAGTGTTCATGTCATTAGTGACATCAGTGAGAGTGACCAGCGCTAACGCTTGGGGTCCCCTGCAGGCACCGTTCTGTCCAAAGTGCTTCGAGAGTGTCCCTCACTGCAATGGTTGCCTCTCCCCCGAGGCAGGCACTAACCACCCCCCTTTACAGAAGGGGGTAAAGGAGCAGAGACGTGGCACAGGGAGCACGTGAAGCTGGGACGCAGCCCACGCAGTCTGGCTCCAGAGCCCACGTCTTGTCCCCGTCTCTCTACCTCCCCATGAAGCGGAATTCATGCCATGGTCCCTTTATTGTGTTTAATCCTCATCCGAGGACATGTTCTTATGGATTCTATTGAGAGAGACCAAGGAGGGAGGGAGGGAGCGAGGGAGGGAGGGGAGGAGAGAGAGACGAGACAGAAACATCAACTGGTTGCCTTGTGTGGCTGCTACTTTAGCGATCAGTAAAAAGAGAATCTGTATTCCTTCTAACCACTGTGGTGCATCTACAATGATCTCAAAACACAAAGTTCCATTTAAAGTATCAGCTGTGTAGCCCCGGGCCGGCGTGGCTCAGTGGTTGAGCGTCGACCTATGAACCAGGAGGTCCCGGGTTCGATTCCCGGTCAAGGGCACAGGCCCGGGTTGCGGGCTCGATCCCCAGCAGGGGGCGTGCAGGAGGCAGCTGATCCATGATTCTCTCTCATCGTGGATGTCTCTCTCTCTCTCCCTCTCCCCTCTTCTCTGAAATCAGTGAAAAATAAAACATACATCAGCTGTGTCTGGAATCCACAGCGAGACTGGGTCTGAGGGAGGGGCTCACCCGAAGCCCCAGCCGTCGATGGCGCTGGCGAAGACCACGTTGCCCTGGTCCGGGGAGAAGTACAGGTGGGAGTCGTCCGTGTCCTCCAAGCCCGCGCTCCAGTCGTACACCTGCTCCGGGTCGGACCCCGGGGTCCCGGGGGACTCGCTCTCTCTCTCCGCCCTCTCTTCTAGGACTTTAGAAGTAAAAAGAGTTCCCGTGAGCGCATTAATCTAGGAGAGAGGGTGAAACGGGAGAGGGTCAATCGGCTGCTTGGCGGCCGGGGCGGGAGACCCCGTGACTAGCACTGGCCACGCCTGGAACCACCCGTCAGTGGCCGCCTGGGCTCCGGTGAGGTTGACACTGACAACAATGAATAACTTCCGCGTTATCAACCGGTTCTTTCTGACCCCAGCACAGCTAAACTGTACGGCTTCTGCAGGTCATTCTTGTGATGACTATTTTAATGCAAACACGAATGTGTGGTCCCTTTACCTGTTTTTCAGGACTGAGGCCTGGCGTCCCCGGGAACTCAGGGCTCCCACCATCCTAGTTTGCAGCCTTAGTCAGCCTTAGCCCCAGGCATTTCGCACATCAGCTACGTATTTGAACTTGTCACCACTCTCGGCAGGCCCCCTTCCTGACCTCTAACTCCCAACGATTTTCACTCATAAGTAACCTTATTTCCAACCTCAGAGATGATGGAAGCTACTATTCAGAAATCCACGCCCGGCCTGCGTGGCTCAATGGTTGAGCGTCGACCAATGAACCAGGAGGTCACGGTTCAACTCCCAGTCAAGGGCACAGGCCCGGGTTGTGGGCTCCAGACCCAGTGGGGGGTACAGGAGGCAGCCGATCCATGATTCTCTCCCATCATGGATGTTTCTCTCTCCCCCCCCTCCTTTCTGAAATCAATAAAGAAATATATTTTTTTTAAAAAAAACCAACTCAGAAACTATCTAATCTTTCTGGGAAAAAATTAAAAAACAAAACAAAACACAAAAACCAAACAGCCTCCTAACATCGCCTCCCTGTGGAACCAGAACTACAAGATTTCAAACATTAAAGAGCATTAAAACCTATTGTCCAAGCTTCACGCGCGAGGACGCTCCCAGCAAGCGGGACCCCGAGGGGAGGCGTGCGCTGCCGCCTCTGCTGTAGCCTGATGATGCCAGCACGTGTGACTCGTAAGTGGGAAAGTACATTCTAAGGAAGTGAATTCTCCAGAGCCGCGCCTCAGACTCCACCCAGCAACTTCCTTGCAACTCCTCTTTGAGCCCCCATTTTTAAATGACCGCAGTAAAGAATGCAATACCTGCTCTAAGATGTTCTTGAGGTGGGAATAGGCCTCCTGCGGGGTGAACTTCAGCTCCACGATCAGGCGATCGATCTTATTGATCACCAACACGGGCCGGATGTTTTCGAGCCAGGCCTGGCGCAGAACTGCCTGTGTCTGATGGAAACAGAAAGGAAAGTGGAAAACTCGTGATCTGAAATAATTAAAACACCTTTAAGAAATCTTGATTAATAATCAGCTTATTCCGCCCTAGCTGGTGTGGTCCAGTGGGTAGAGCATTAACCTGTGGACTAAAGGGTCCAGGGTTTGATTACACTCAAGGGCACATGCCCGGGTTGTGGCTCGATCCCCAGTAGGGGGCATGCAGGAGGCTGCCAATCAGTGATTCTCATCATAGGTGTTTCTATTGCTCTCTCCCTCTCCCTTCTCTCTGAAATCAATACAAATATACGTTTTAAAGAACTAATCATCAGCTCATTTCCATACTTCTTTATAACTCGGACTATGCCGGTCAGACACAGGTGGTCACTAGACATACACATCAGCAAAGAAGTACAGACTAGAAATCATCCTACCTTCGTGGAACTGGCCATTTGCTTAAGGAGGGTAAATGAAACTGTAAAAGACAGTGAGGAGCCCGCCCGGCCGGTGTGGCTCAGCGGTTGAGCATCAACCTACGAACCAGGAGGTCAGTGTTCGATTCCCGGTCAGGGCACAGGCCCGGGTTGCAGGCTTGATCCCCAGTAGGGGGAGTGCAGGAGGCAGCCGATCCAGGATTCTCTTTCATCACTTTCGCCCCTTCTCTCTCTCTCTCTCTCTCCCTTCCTCTCTGAAATCAATAAAAATGTATTAAAAAAAAAAGAATCTAAAGTCAAAGTCATCCTGAAAACTTAGGTGAGGTAACTCCACCACAGACTGGAAGGTTATCGAACGTCCAATGTAAAACCAGTGATTGTCAGTGAAATGTCTAAGTGCACACGGCCATCAGCAGCCAGTTCCTCCTCCCGCACCTTCCCGCACCCGCGACGTATTTCCACACCACAGCCCCCCCCTACCTGTGGGCAGACTCCCTCCACGGCATCGACCACGATGATGCACCCGTCGCAAATGCGAACGGCCGTGGACACTTCGGAGGAGAAGTCCACGTGACCCGGAGAGTCTATGAGGTTGATGAGGTACTCCTCGCCACCTGGAAGGGAGGGCGAGGCGGCCGCTGTCAGCCGTGCAGGTATACGACGCGCTGCCTCGGGCGTCCAGAGGCAGAGCTCAGAGATGATGTCAGGCTACAGAAGGCAGAGGCCCCACCCGCCGCTGTCAGTCCCATCTGAATCCCGTGGACGAAACTACTGATTCCAAACAGCGTCTATATCAAACATCCGGACTTGCCCTGGCTGGGTTGCTCAGTGGGTAGAGTGTCAGCCGTGGGACCGAAAGGTTGAGTTTACTTTTATTTTTTAAAAATACATTTTTACTAGAGGCCCGGTGCACGAATTCGTGCACAGGTGAGGTTCCTCAGCCTGGCAGGGCCATCTCGCCCAATCCTGACCGGGGTGATGGGGGCTGGCTGCCGGGGAGGGATACAGGAGGGCTCCAGGGCATGTCCAGTCTGCCTTGCCCAGTCCTGATCGGCCGGACCCCAGCAGCAAGCTAACCTACCGGTTGGAGCATCTGCCCCCTGGTGGTCAATGCGCATCATAGCAACTGGTGGAATGATTGGACACTTAGCATATTACACTTTTATTATATACGATTGATTTCAGAGAGGAAGGGAGAGGGAGAGAGAGATAGAAACCTGAATGAGAGAGAATCATTAATCAGCTGCCTCTTACACGCCCCCTACTAGGGATAGAGCCCACAACCCGGGCATGTGCCCTGACCAGGAATCGAACCCAGAACCCTTTAGTCTGCAGGCCAACACTCTATCCACTGAGCCAAACCAGCTAGGGCGGGTTGTGGGTTTAATTCCCAGCCTAGGGCACATACCTAGGTTTTTACTCGAGGCCCAGTGCATGAATTCGTACACAGGTGGGGTCCCTCGGCATGACTGATGATTGGGGCCAATCGGGGCCATGTTGCCCAATCCTGACTGGGGTGATGGGGGCTAGTTGCCGGGGAGGGACTGCAGGATGCTCCTGTGCCCAACTTTCAGGAGGCAACCATCAATGTTTCTCTCTCTCTCACCCCCTCCTCTAAAATAAATAAATAAATAAATAAATAAATATTCAGATTTTATTATTCTAATAGTTACCACTTATTTAGCCTCCTGTGAGGCGGGCACTGTGCTAAGTAAACAAATTTAATGTGCTGATCACACATTATTGAACCCTTACAATAACCCTATTAGGTACATATTGCTATACCCATTTCACAGATTAGGAAGTTGAGACTATAAAAGGACCGACGCCCGAGAGGGAAGGTTGTTCAAAGGGGCCCAAACGGGAAATGCCGACTTCAACAGACACAGAGCAGCTGGCTGACGACTTCCCTACAAAACCTCAAAGCGCAGGCGCGGATCTGCTCAGTGGAGAGTTAGAGTCAATTCTACAAACACTTAAGGAGTGACTGCTCCGTGCCTAGCCGTGTGCTAAGCGCTCTCGCATGGAGTCTCCCCTCCAGGCTCACGCCACACGCGTGTTACGCTCACAGCAGGGCGACCACACACGCCGTTTCGGCTGGAAGTGCCACATCCCACTAAGCCGATGTCAGTCCCGGGCACGGCAGAGCGACTGGCCCCGCCCCCAGGTTACAGAGACTGAACCTTAAAATGTAAGTGAACCATGAAGAAAAAGGTAACTCATTAGCATTCTACACTTATTCCCCATTTACTGCTAATGTGACATCATTCTCTTCCAAAGGTAAAATAATTATTCAGATGCTCAAACACCCCATAGATACTGGACTTTCGCCCCTTCTCTTAACTCTGCCCTTCAACCTCTGTGGGCTCCAGACTCCACGGGGCTGAATACGGTAAGTTATGGGGCGCGTCGCGGGCTCTCCCCAGGGGACTTTAACAGCCCGATGACGGGGCTCGGGCCCGAGGTGACACTGATGATGATAAGACAACCACCGAGGCCGGAGCTCGCATCCGCGGCGGCCTGTGTGTGCCTGGCACTGTTTACAGGCACTACTTCCTGTCGGCCTACAACCACCCTTTGTGGTGGCCGCTCCCATCAGCCCGGTTTTACAGAGCGGAACACGAGGACGCAGAAAGTTCAATGTTTTTCTGCAGAACCCGACTCTGCGGTTCCCCGCCCGGGATCAAACACAGCAGAACGGCACGGGGAAGCTCAGACCCATCTAACCCCAAAGCCACACGCTCGGCCACGCTGCTCAGAATGGCACACATTTCATCCCGGGAGGCCCAATCCCGCAGGCGGCCGGTGGCGGAACACGGGGCGAAGGACCCCCCAGTGCGCCGGGGCCGTGAGGGCAGCTTGCTGTCCTGGGAAGGTCACACTGATCCACCCCCAGATGTCTTCAACCGCGAGCACCGTTTCTGCCCGGTGCTCTCTGGAGCTGAGACGGCAGCCCAGCACCCCCTCTGACGAGCGTAGGGTTGCTACTCATCACGTGGCATCTTACGAGCTTCTTTGTCTGTGGCCTGTCATTACACGAAGGCCCAGAAGAACCCGTTGTGCCACGTTCTTGGAGACCGAGCTGAGGTGAAGGGGAGCATGGGAAGCAATTCCTGGGAGCTCTGAGGACGGGAGAGTCAGAGCTGCCTTGTGATGAGGAGGCCCGAGATACGTGACCGGGGAGCCGGTTTACAAGCTCTGGAGTCGGCCCTGGAGTCGGAGAACCAGCGAGCCAAGCTCCTGCCAGACCTGAACACCATGGCTTCTGCCAACAGTGACACTACAGACAGTCCTCGGGTTACGTCGGACTCGACGAACGTAAAATAATTATTCAGATGCTCAAACACCCCATAGATACTGGACTTCGCTCCTTCTCTTAACTCTGCCCTTCAACCTGTGGGCTCCGGGGCTGAATATGGTAAGTTATGGGGCGCGTTGCGGGCTCTCCCCAGGGGACTTTAACAGCCCGATGACGGGGCTCGTGCCCGAGGTGACACTGAGGATGATAAGACAACCACCGAGGCCGGAGCTCGCCTCCGTGGCGGCCTGTGTGTGCCTGGCACTGTTTACAGGCACTACTTCCTGTCGGCCTACAACCACCCTTTGTGGTGGCCGCTCCCATCAGCCCGGTTTTACAGAGCGGAACACGAGGACGCAGAAAGTTCAATGTTTTTCTGCAGAACCCGACTCTGCGGTTCCCCGCCCGGGATCAAACACAGCAGAACGGCACGGGGAAGCTCAGACCCATCTAACCCCAAAGCCACACGCTCGGCCACGCTGCTCAGAATGGCACACATTTCATCCCGGGAGGCCCAATCCCGCAGGCGGCCGGTGGCGGAACACGGGGCGAAGGACCCCCCAGTGCGCCGGGGCCGTGAGGGCAGCTTGCTGTCCTGGGAAGGTCACACTGATCCACCCCCAGATGTCTTCAACCGCGAGCACCGTTTCTGCCCGGTGCTCTCTGGAGCTGAGACGGCAGCCCAGCACCCCCTCTGACGAGCGTAGGGTTGCTACTCATCACGTGGCATCTTACGAGCTTCTTTGTCTGTGGCCTGTTATTACACGAAGGCCCAGAAGAACCCGTTGTGCCACGTTCTTGGAGACCGAGCTGAGGTGAAGGGGAGCATGGGAAGCAATTCCTGGGAGCTCTGAGGACGGGAGAGTCAGAGCTGCCTTGTGATGAGGAGGCCCGAGATACGTGACCGGGGAGCCGGTTTACAAGCTCTGGAGTCGGCCCTGGAGTCGGAGAACCAGCGAGCCAAGCTCCTGCCAGACCTGAACACCATGGCTTCTGCCAACAGTGACACTACAGACAGTCCTCGGGTTACGTCGGACTCGACGAACGTCGTTTCATGGCTACGTCGCCATCTCCCATTTATTTATTTAAAAAAAAGTTCCGTCATTTCGACGTATGTGGAGTAGAACACAAAGAAACCGAGGCATGCGATGAACCCGGGAAGAGAACGGAAGGTCCAGAACTCCTTTTCTTTAAAATAGAGGCGGACTTACCTTGTGCGTAATGCAGGGAGATGGCGCTGGATTTCATGGTGATGCCCCGGATCTGCTCGTCCTCCCGGCTGTCCATGTACCGTAACTGTGGGAACAAACAGAGGCACCCTTACTGCCCACGGAACGGAAACGTCACGTTCAAGTGGAATGATTTGGACTTTTGCGTTAAGTGCTTACTTTACCTACAACCACCCTTTGTGGTGGCCGCTCCCATCAGCCCGGTTTTACAGAGCGGAACACGAGGACGCAGAAAGTTCAATGTTTTTCTGCAGGACACGTGGCTAGAACCCGACTGAGGTTCCCCGCCCGAGATCAAACGCTGCAGAACAGCAGCGGGGAAGCTCAAACCCATCTAACCCCAAAGCCACACGCTCGGCCACGCTGCTCAGGATGGCACGCATTTCATCCCGGGAGGCCCGATCCCGCGGGCGGCCGACCTCCTGGTTCCTAGGCCGACGCTCAGCCCCTGAGCCAGGGCGGCCAGGCTTACGTGCTAACCTTTTAAACGAAAGGCCCTGTGGAATTTTTTAAGGGGGGAGGGATGGAGAATGGTAGTTTGTCATGGGGAAGAGAACACAGACAAACTGAAAGACATGAACTACTTTCCAAATGCAGTCAGACCACACACAGCCTCCCCGCAGGCTGCTCATTCAGATTCCAGCCGTGAATGAGGTGGTCCTGAGCCGTTCACAGAAGGCAGCCTGGGGGAATGTTCTTCCATTCACCAAGAACACGGCCACTCTTTCCCTTCACAGGCTCATTGACGAAGTCTGAACAGACATTCCAACAGCGCTTAAAAGCTACCAATGACCTCTGGCCAAACACACCAACCTTGTCAGCCCTCACTCTTCTTGGTCAGGGCATTAGACACACCTAAGGGAATTACCTTTGATGCCTATGTGAGCTCTGCACATGTGTGTGCTCTGCACATGTGTGTGCTCTGCACATGTGTGTGCACTCTGCACATGTGTGCGCTCTGCACACGTGTGCGCTCTGCACATGTGTGAAAATCTCCCAGCGGTCTCCCATCTCCTGGTTTCCTGTCTGCCTCTCCCTGGTCCCACTCCTGGCTCCTCTTCACCTCTCCCACTTCTCAGAAAGGCCTTCCTCCAGCCCTGGCCGGTGTGGCTCAGTGGACAGAGCGTGGTCGGCCTGCAGACTGATGGGTCCCGGGTTCAATACCAGTCAAGGGCACTCACCTGGGCTGCAGACTGTACCCCCAGTAGGGGGTGTGTAAGAGGCAGCCAATTCGAGATTCTCTCTCATCATTGATGTTTCCATCGCCTTCTCCCTCTCCCTTCCTCTCTGAAATTAAAAATATATTTAAAAAAAAGAAAGGCAGGCCTTCCTCCAAAAAGTCTCGTTCTCTTGTTATTCTATACTAGAGGCCCGATGCACGAAATCTGTGCAAGAGTAGGCCTTCCGTCCCCTGGCTGCCGGCACCGGCTTCCCTCGCAGCCCCGGCTTCGTCTGAAAGGTCATCCGGAAGGACATCAGGTCTAATTAGCATATTATGCTTTTATTATTATAGACTAGAGGCCTGGTGCACAAATTCATGCACACGTGAGGTCCCTCAGCCTGGACAGCGATTGGGGCTTATCGGGGCCTGCGGGCCGGGGAAGGAACCGTGGGAGGTTGGCTGTGGGAGCGCACTGACCACCAGGGGGCAGCTCCTGTGCTGAGCGTCTGCCCCTGGTAGTCAGTGCATCGTCATGGCTACCAGTCCACAGGTCGTAAAGGTGGCTTAGGCTTTTATATATATAGATGTGTACATTTCTTCTTTCAGTCTTCTGTGTGTACTTTTTTGATTCTATTTTGCTTCTCCATCTCCCCTTCTCTCTGTTCCCAGTCACCTGACGCATCCTGCTGGTTATATTCTAAACTCATTAAGGTGAGGAACATCGCTATTTTGGGTTTTTTTGTTTTTGTTTTTTTTAAATACATTTTATTGATTTTTTACAGAGAGGAAGGGAGAGGGATAGAGAGTCAGAAACATTGATGAGAGAGAAACATCTATCAGCCGCCTCCCGCACACCCCCCACTGGGGATGCGCCCGCAACCAAGGTACATGCCCCCGACTGGAATCGAACCTGGGACCCTTGAGTCCGCAGGCCGACACTCTATCCACCGAGCCAAACCGGCCAGGGCAACATCGCTATTTTGTATTGCAAGTAAGTTATTCCCCGTCCTTTCACAGTGCAGCCGGAAACAAAGATCTCTTGAATTCCTTTCCTAAAACATGATGTTCATCACGACCCACAGGCTGCAGAAGCCGTCCTGTGGCACGTCGCTGAGCCTTCAAGGTCTGCGATCATCTGATACACCCTCTACCAGTTCGTGTTCTCTCCTGGAGGTGTAGATGCCAATCTTCCACTCACATCAAGCAGACCTCGCAAAGGAGCCTTTTCCCGTGTTATTTTCCCCCCCGGTTGAGGCTTTCTTTGCTTTCCCCTCAAACCACCTCACCCGTCTGGGAAAACGGCCACAACTGTGCCAGGATATCACCTGACACATGGCGCTTACAGGATTGCTAAGCACACAGCAGACGTTCATCACACCATAGATGGCTGCTCCTTGCTGAGACGCAACAAGTGCTCATCCACTGCAACTACATACCTTGCCTGCCAGGCGGCTGGAGATGATTCCATTGCTGGATATGAGGCAATCAGCCAGGGTAGTTTTGCCTGTTAAAATAACAGTATTAACTTTAATCTATTTTTTATTTATCTTTTATTTTTAATAATAATAATTATTATTTTTTTAATCCTTACCCCTGGATATTTTTCCCTTCCTGCATGTGCCCCGACCAGGGCCCGGGCTGGGAAGGAGCCTGCAACCGAGGTCCGTGCCCTTGACCGGAATCGAACCCGGGACCCTTCAGTCCGCAGGCCGACACTCTATCCACTAAGCCACACCGGCTCGGGCTAACTGCCGAGTTTTAAAAACTCAAATTCTCATTTAGAAAACAAGACAACAGTTTTGGGCAGCGGGGCTCCGTGGTTGAGCGTGGACCTATGAACCAGGAGGTCAGGGTTCGATTCCTGGTCAGGGCACAGGCCCGGGTTGTGGGCTAGATCCCCAGTGTGGGGCGTGCAGGAGGCAGCCAGTCCATGATCCTCTTTCATCACGGATGTTTCTCTCTCTGTCCCTCTCTCTTCCTCTCTGAAATTTAAATAGATTAGATAGATAGATAGATAGATAGATAGGTAGATAGATAGATAGATAGATATCTAGATAGATAGATAGATTAGATAGATAGATAGATAGATAGATAAACAAGGCAACACGCTAGATAGATGGATAGATAGATAGATAGATAGATAGATAGATAGATAGATAGATAGATAAACAAGGCAACACGCTAGATAGATGGATAGATAGATAGATAGATAGATAGATAGATAGATAGATAGATAGATAAACAAGGCAACACGCTAGATAGATGGATAGATAGATAGATAGATAGATAGATAGATAGATAGATAGATAGATAAACAAGGCAACACGCTAGATAGATGGATAGATAGATAGATAGATAGATAGATAGATAGATAGATAGATAGATAAACAAGGCAACAGGCCAGAATGCAAATCACTGGGCAGCTGCCTTGATTTGCAATGTTTCACCGCGCATGCGCGAGTCTGGGACATCAAAGGCAGGAAGTCCCGCCCCTCACGCCGCTGACACCCGGGAGCCCCGCCCCCGCACCCCGGGCCCCGGGACAGGACAGGACAGGACAGGTCCGGCTCCTCACCGTGGTCCACGTGCGCCAACACGCAGATGTTCCTGATGTTCGCGGGGTTCCTCTGC